ATGCGATCACCTTTTGCTACAGTAAGTGCGGGACCACTGTTTCTCCCAGTCGATGTAGTTTGGGTATGCGGCACATTGAAAGGCGGTAATTGTATAACCATGATGGGTTGTAGCCCCACTCAAGTCATGTCCATGTCTGACACCATCGCCGTCTCCTTTAAAGCATGCTTGAACTCTCTCCCGTCTTTCAAAGCACCGAGCAAACGAGTGGTGGAACCGAGTTTCAGTGGTCTTGATGAACTTCTCCAGCAGAAGCATGCTTCAGCATGTTCGCAATAAAACAACATGAAACAACCCGAGCTGCTTGTTCCGTTCGTAGCGATGCCCTTTGCTCCTAGTAGCATCCTTTCGCCTAGTAGCGATGCCAGGAGCCCCTAGTAGCATGTTTGCTCCTAGCAGTAAGGACAGGAGCCCCTAAGCTTCCTTGTTCCTAGCCACTGTCGCATGTTCTCTTTCCGGTTCCCGGGCCCAATGGGGCTGAAGAGGATTGTGAAATGAGTTGGTTATATATATTGGTTTAAATCATCCATGTCCCAGGCTTGAAAAGGATGAAGAAAAACACCAAACACTTCTTCACATGGTTCTTCCACTGCTTTGCGCAGAACCCCCTCCCCAACGATGTTCCCTGGGTGCAGTTGGAAGCTCTTTTCGGCATGAGCCGATGAGTTTCGGCGCGCCGCCCAGTGGCTGGCGTCGCTTGGGATCAGGGAAAAAGATCTTGAAGTGGGTGATTTAAATGGGGAACCCATCTTCCAGAGCTGGGAGGTCTACTTCATTCATGCACACCTAACTGGAGGTTGAACCCCTTCTCCAAATTCCAACCATTTCAATCCACTGGTTCAGAACGCCATGCCATACGCATGCCTGCCCGTCTTCCTGATCTTCCTGCAGGCTGTCACACTTGTAGGAAGCAAAACACTCGCGAGGCGGAACTGAGTCTCCTGGCAACTCGTCCCTCTCTTTCTGCAGCTCTTCATTCCTTTCACGCCGCACACAGGAAACATCGACGGGTGTGGGGGTGTGGGCCTGGCCTTGGTCGACAAAAACCACCTGTATGATATGGCCATGGCCGACGCCTCAAGGGTTTGGACCGGTCCATGAGTGAACATGTTCAGTTTGTCCGCTTCGGTCAGCGGTTTTCCTCGTCCGGAGACGTCAAGGATCCAAGGCACTACAGCGCGCTTCGGCCAAAACCATCCAAATAAGCCGCATTTGGAGGATCGCATTTGGAGGCTGAAGAGCCTCATTTCTTAGGACTCTCCCATCACCTGGTTGGCCGGGCTAGATGTATAGACCTTCCTCAAAAGAGGAAGGAAAACCTCTTGCCGACTCTTACAGGTCATGGGACACACGTCTGACCGGACCAGGTTACAGGTCTGACCGGTCGGGCGGGGGGTCACCGCTGGTTGGGGCGGTTCACACGGTTCGGTTTGTTTGCCTGGTATGCCTGGTGATCTGGACTGGTGGGGTGTTCTTTCTCCCGCCAGCTGCCGGCCGTGGTGAACTAGCTCGAAACCCGTAGGCGCCCCTCAACTACCCTTTTTTGCTGACCCGAGGCTGAAAAACGATGAAAAACGCGGAAGGAATCAAACCATGTCCAACCTCCTGCAACCTTCTGCAACCAATAGCAAGAAAGAAGAAGGAAGAAGAAGATAAGGAAGATGATGAAGTTTGCACGGCAAACTGTGAACCTCACATCCTCTCCATCAATTTGAGGGTCGTTTCTCCCCTGACAACTCGGAGAAATACCCCAGATGGACCGAACCGGACACCTCCGCTTGGACTGGCTGTCGCCGTTCAATCGCATCACCACATCACACGGCGTCCGATCGATGAGTCGGTCCGAGCCCGATCTCCCGATCTCCAAACAAAGCACTTCCCAATCCGGAACTAGTATCCCCCTTGGTACCGACAGCTGATCCCCAGGATTTGACGTATTAAAATCCCTAGGATGTCAGTATGGCGCAACCAAGGGGGATGAACTAGTCACAGATTGGCCTACACTTGGTTACATGGATTTGCATGGTCCATGTAGCCACAGGGTCGTAGCCCAAAGGGGAATCTCTGCAGAGTTCTTGTGTTCGTGCTGCGGCTACAGAGTTTTCCTATCATGCGTAACCTGGCACGTGGACCATCTATCTGTTGCCAGATGTCCTTTTGGGACATGGTTGTGCACTTGGGTGTATCCCCTCTATTCATCAACCACTTGTTTGACTTTCAAGCTATTCGAGGTCTGTGACCGCTAGCTCTATTCATCAACAAGGCCATCTGTGGCTGTTGCGGAAATTGCCAGATTTTTGGTTCCATCTCTTAGGACGCCCGACCTCTTCTGCAGCTCGTCCTCCCGCATCTCTGCTGCACTCCTCTGACTCGAACGCAACGTGCCACGTGCCGTTCGGTGCATGCCCGCGGAGCAACGAAAATGGTCTGCTACAGTCCTGAGCAATGGTCTTCCCCGGGGGATACAGTTTATGGTCTGCTACACCGCTTCAGCTGATAGCAGCTAAGGGTACAAAATTTTGGGGGGTACCCTCCAGAGTTAAAGCTACATATAATGTGTATATATATATATACACATATGGAAAATGAGGCTCTTCGCAGGCCTCACCGAACTTGGCGTCCGACCTCTCTCTCTCTCTCTCTCCCTGGTGCTCATGTTTGAAGAGATCTTTCTTGAAGAGGTGTACCCACACCGTGGCCCAGCACCCAGGAGTGGTTTTCTCCCTACCTTCTCTCCAACGTCCTCCTGGTTACGTAATTAGTCGCCCACACCTGGCCCCTTTTGTTTGACCCAATCCTCTAACAAACAGGGGGCTGAACTCCACGAAACCCTGCGAAAAGCCAACACCCTGAGGACAAACGGCTGGATGTTGCTGCGCTGCTGCTCCAACTGCTCCACCTGCAGGACTCGTAACCGCGCGCGTTTCACCGAGTCCGGTGCAGCCGGCGATCCGCACCGCGCCGGGAGCCAGGTTTATGGTTTTCTGTTTGCTGTATTTCTAACCGTGACTCGTTCATTTCAATGTGCAAATGGATGTGCATGAAGTAAGTAGCAATGTTCTTTTTTGGGGCCGCACGTGCTTCGAGACGGGAAGGGGCTCAGCCAAGCTGATGCTTGCTTGCCTGGTGCTTGCCTGGGACTTTCAGGTGATCAGCGAGAGTGAATCAAAATGCATGGGGTCCCAAGCTCTTGGAGCCCCAATTCGGCAAGCATTCCTTGACTGAATCCTTTGAGGAAGAGTGTTGTTCTATGGCGTTCATCACCTGAGTCTCAAGGCTTCCACTTGAAAAGATGCATAAAGAAGAGAACCAATCATGCATCCTACAACAAGCATTGCACATCTGGAACTCCAAGACACCTTTGGCCAGATCTTGGCACCATGTGGTACCCACCATCTAGTAAGCAAGTAACCTTCCGCCCTGCTCCACCCACTCCCCACCCACCCATCACCTTGCAGCTCTCGCTGCTCAACACGCTTTGAAGCTCTTCACCTGAGACTGACCGAGGAGGCCGGCAACCCACCGGAAACAGGGGCAACAGCCTTCATCAGTGCATCCTGCATTACATATTATATATATGTATGTATATTTATTTTATATATATATATACATATAATGTAGAATCTAGAAATATCTAGAATCTTGATGAATCAACCCCCCCATAGGCTGGAATCTGCACCCCAAAAAATGCCGTTCCATCTTCCCCTCCATCTGCGCCCTTCGCGGGTTCCCGTTCCCTTGTTTTGGGGTGCCGGGCGCTGTTGCTTCGCCTTTTGGTTCTCTTCCAAGAGCCGGTCCACCGAGCGCTGCACCCGGCCCTCCATGTAGAGAGCCGGACGGTGACCGTGCGCACCGGTGATCGAGCGATGATCGGGACGGTGACGGTTTTTCCGCGTCGGAAGGTTGACGCACGGAGCGCGCACACGACACGGTGGGCGATGAAACCCTGGGGCGGGCCCTGGGCTGGCGACAGAGAGGACAGAAAGGAACTGGGAAGAGCTGTGCACGGACCTTAAGACAAACACCCTTGCAGATGTGCACACATGTGCACACATGTGCACATGTCATTTAAGGCTCTCAGGCCCCGCCCGAAGCGTGCCATGACACGCCGAAGCCAACCTCAACACACCCACTTTCCAACCACGGCCACGAAGCGAATGGATGGCAAGAACATGCAAGAACTGAGCCAAAGTGATGAGTGCTTGGGCCGGTCACCGCTCCTCTCGCGCCCTCTCCTCACCCCCACCTGGCCCCAACGCTCCTCTGGATGCGAACCCAACCGTCCCAACCATCTGAGGCGGTGGCTTCGGCTTTGGCCTCAGCACCGGTCGGGACGCATTGGTCGAGCTCTCACAGCCAAGCAGATTCAGATCGGCCGGGTGATGTGACATCACGTATCTGATGGTCGCTCTGGATTCTGGATGTTTCCTGTCCGTGTGGTACAAGTTTCCGGATGTTTCTGGTAGAAGTTGGTGTTAAAGGAACCTGAATCAAAGCATTTGAGAATCCTATGAGCCCCCCAATGGTGTGCTGAAGCCACCGCCAGCGCTTGCGCACAAGCCATGTCGCACGTCTTTTTCGCACTTCCACCTCAACGACGCAGCTTGGCACTCGCATGTCGGACTGCGATGTTTTTTGGTCTACATCAGGACAAAGTCTGACACCTGAGCTGCATTTATCTGGGTCTCACATGGCAAAGTGCAGTTTCTTGGATTGGGATGAGTTCAAGATACCCTTGGGGGCGTAAAAAAGATTTAAAAAATGGTTTTTAACCAAAAAGGCATGTCAATGAAGTTACACGGTCTCCTACAGGGATGTTCCATGTCCTTCGCAGGGAGGGGCTCGGTTTCGTTGGAAGAGGACCAAGAGTCCCACCCCGCCGGCTCCGCGCTCCACGCGGCCGCTCACTCCGCGCCGTCGTCCGCCGTCGCCAGCTCGCTGCCAGGCTCCGCCGGATCCACGGGATCCGCCGGATCCATGGGCTCGTAGTAGTCCTCGTTTCACGACTCCGGTGAACAGTCGAGCAAGTGAAAGACTGGCGCGGGCCAGACTGGCGAAGGTGGGTCCCAACAGAGATAATATGCAGATGACAAGCAGTCTTGCTTGGAAAACAACCATTGGCATAGATGTACGTGCATATTTGTATAATATGTATGTGCATGTACATCTATGTGAATATATATATATATATCTGTGTGTGTGTCTACCTTCACCAATGCTTGTCCACCTTTTGAGCCGTGCACGGGTGGTGCACAACTCCCTCCTCCCTCTCCGTGCGGTGCTTCTCGCCGTGCGCTGCGCACTGCGCTGTCCTTTTGCTTCGCCTTGCGGGTGACGCGGTCCACGGTCCACACCGTCTTCGTGGGCGTGGACATCTTCTTCTGGATCTCCCTGGGCGGTCCGAAGCCGGAAGGGTCCCGGCGGTCGGTCCCACAGTGAAGAAGGCGGGACCAAACGGGCGTCCTGCTGCACCCCATGAGGACAAAGGAATAAACCCACTCATGGAAACCCGGATCACCTAGGATCACCTAGGACTGCTCCAGTCACTCAAAAGCGGCTCACAACCCGCCCCCACACCAAGGACTCATGACCAGAATGGATACCTCACCCATCACTGATCATGACTTGAGTCAATGCCTGAACTTGGCCAGCTTCTCGGTCCCAGTGCTTCGGGAACCACCGGCCCAGAGCTTCGGTTCGCACATCGATGTGGGGCGCAGCAGTGCCAACGAGAAACCCGACTTTCTGATTCATCTCGTAGATCAAGGAGCCTCAGCTGCTCGCAGGCTGTGATGTGTACTGTGTACCTTACTACAGCTACAGCCCCCCCGGAACTCCTGGCGAACCAAATCCCAAAGACCACTTTTTGAGAAAGGCTTGAAAATAGAATCACCGCTTGGGAATTGAGCCGACAGTCTTGGGGTATACAAGTAACACCAAAATCCTGGAAGACTCCGTCATGCTGCAAGCACGATGGATATCATCAACTGCAGGATCCCTTCACCACCACAACACGCGTTTCCATGAAAAACAGAGTTGCGGTCTGTCGTTTGATCATGTCTACCAAGATCCCCAATGAGGCTAGGAAATAGGGTTGCGACCCCCATTCTGCGGAGCAATTGGGTTTACGGAAAGCTATAGGTCAAATCTCTATAACCTCACATGATTGGCATTGGCCTTCTACGAAATGCCAAATCGCGTGCAGGAGACAACATAATGTAGTTTGAACAATGGCACAATTCTGCCCGTAAAATGAATGAGCAAAAGGTCATGGAGTTATCAAATTGGCAGAGGTGGCACTTCTCTCCCAAGCCTTCAAAAGGTCACGGAGATTTCGTGACGTCCTTCAGTGAACCCGACGCTTGCCCCAAACCCAAAAGAAAATTAACAAACTCCTTGGTAATTAGAATTCTTTCAATACGTCATCGTGTAACCAAGATCGAGCTCCTTCTCCATAAAATCTTGGTCGAAATGCAACTGGATAAAGGTCGCAGCAATTGTATTTATAAATGGATTTGAATCATTCCCTGCTCATGGATGCTGCTATCACCTATCACCTGGGAAAACTAGGGGCACCCCCTCCCCACATGCCTTGCGCACGTCGCCGCAGAGACGCCAGGTTGGGCAAAAAAAGGGCCTGGGACGACCAAGAGGCCAATGGTGTCTTCACCTTCTTGGTTCCGGATCTCGCGCATCATCACCTCGTGGGAACCGGCACCGTGATGAAGGAGCTCTCTTGGAGCTCTGGCACGTGACCACGTGACATGTCGCTCTGTCTCGGTGCGGCCCAAACGGACGGGTTGCAGTTGGGCGCCATGGAGTCGGGAGAAGAACTGTTCTTCCCCTGGTGGTTGGTGAGGAAGTTGGACCAACCAAGAGAGGTTGAACAGCCCCATCCTAGCCCATCCCATATGTACCACAGACCAGGGTCCGAACGTGAAGCGGTCTCTCAACCTCTCTTGGAACATCACCAGTAAAACACCAGGTTCAAGTGGATACACTCGGATTGTCGCCGGCCAAGTGCCATGATGTGCTATGTGCTTCTGTTGGCCGAGCATCCATGGCGTCATCAATGACGGTCCAGTTCTGCGTCACGCGAGCGTTCGATTGCTCAGTGAACGCCTGTGCCAACGCGCAATGGATCTCAGGAGGGGCGCCCTCTCTGAAAGCACGAAGGGGTTCACTGCGGTCATTTTCCAGGGCAATGACTCCGCGTCTTGTTGGCTGAGGTCACTATGTCCGAGATGATCAAACAGTGCAAGCAACCCCTCAGGTTCAGCCAAAGCAGTCGATAAGCTGAAAAAGAATCTGTGCAGGTCGTCTAAGCAAGGTGGGACTACCAAAGCCCACTGCACATCCGCCCAATGTGGTGCAATCTGAATGGTCATCAGCCAGGCCCCTGTGTTCCCTTCTTTGGATAGACCACCTAAAGCACAAGTGACATCATCAAGCTCAGCAACCCCTGCCTGTGGGGTATCTTCCAGCTGCTTCATGCGCGACATGGTGTCCTCAAGGTGCGGAGCATCCACGGCAGATCGGCCGCATGCGGCGGGTGACCGTGCCACCGAAAAAGCGCGAGCGCAACGCCTACTTCGTGTGACGTGGAAAAGCCACCCTGTTTGTACTGGAACATGGTCTTCCAAGGGGCTATTCTCCACTTCCATGTTAGCTCTAGGGAGTGTAATTCATGTTCCGATTTGAGACCCTCCCGGCCGATTCCCCTAGCTGCCTTAAGAAGGCCATCGCGACGAGCGGACGACCCGATTTCGGAGGGCTTACAGGAGTCCAGGAGTCACAAGACGGGGTGCCCCTGTCACATCCGCTCACTGGATGGGATTACAAACCAACCCTTAGTGTGACTCCTGGTATGCTATTCTCCTTTACAAACGTGTTTTTTCATGGGGGTTCCTTCCATATCCTTCCATGTAAAGCGGTTTGGAGTGTAGTTCCGTGGTCATCAAGAATCACGTGGTCATCAGGACGGTTTCGGCAGCAGGACGGGCTGATACGATCAGGTCATTCGTGGTTCCTTTCGGCAGCAGGATCTTGTTCGGCCATCCTCGTCTTCGGCTCTTCGGCTTCGGCCATCCACGCCTGGTACGCCAGGATCGCTTTGGCCATCGCCTCCCCGCGCTGGTCTTGCGCGGTGGCGAAGAGCTCCACCGCGCGTTCGCTGTGGGGCCTCGTTCGTGCCGGGCGGCGCCACGTGGCGCAAGGCGTTGGTTTTTAGGTCGTTCGAAAGCGCTTCGCCTATGACGATGGTCCGTGGTCGCAAGGCAGCGGAAGACGAATGAATGATAACAAAGAGTAACAAACACAGTAATCACCCCATGAAGCTTCCCAGACCTCCCTCTCTACGAAATGACATCAGAATCCAGTCAGGTGCTACTGTCTCATCACCCCTTCGGTCCACGCCGCGGCAGTCTTGCCGAGATGCAAGCCCTCATCAGGGGAGAGCTCTGCGCACAGGATATGTGCTAAGGTTTGCAGCGCGTAGCCCTGACCATAAGCCGCCTCCTCCAGCGAGCGCTGCGCCTTTTTCATGGCTTGTTTCAACGAGACCCCTGTCAAGTTCCCCTATTTTTGAGTTTTTTTGAGGGAAAAACCTGGCAGCTTCCCTTCTGACCATCATACCGGGTTCGGTGTCACATCATAGCGACAAAGAACAAAACGAGCTATGAGGTCACAGTTCAGCTTCAAAAAATACTCACAGCCCAAACACATCTAAACACATCTGAACACCATCTACAGTGGTGGGGTCGGATGGTGAAACTCCTTGGCTGAAAGTGACACTCTTGGGAGTCCGATGCTGCCATCGCCATCTCCCTGCAAAAAACAGCCAGGAACGCTAGCTGAACGAGTGAACTGGACCAGGCTCTCATGTCTTTTTTCCAGGATTCGGCTGTCCGAAAAAATGCAACGCAAGCGCAGCTCCTTGGGCGTCATCTGGGCCTGAAAAACAGCAATGTTTGGGAGGCACTGGTTCTGGCCGAAAGCAGGGGATCAAGACTCTTTGAGAACTGACAAGATCCCCCTTGCTACCGATTTCAAAGGCGCAAGCAAGGAGGATTTCAATACTGGAGCCGAGTTTAAGCCTTGACTGCCCCTCACTCAAAACTGCTGAGTGTAAGGAATCAAGTCGCACTCTGCTCCCGTCTTTAAAAAAATCCGCAAAAAGACTAGTTCCTCCTTCCCCCGCAGACCTGCGCATAGTACTTCAAGGATTCCTCGGCCACTTCCCTCGCATCGGCCAACTCGCCGATGGAGAAGTGGACCTCGGCAGCGCTCGATCCACTCGGCACCGGGTCGCATGCGGTGCCGTGCGACACGAACGCGGTGGGGCCGATGGTCTGCCGCAGAGCGCTGGGCACCAAACGCGGTGGGTTTGGGTTGGGACATCTTGTTGACATCTCAATGCAGTATGGTGGATGACCCCCCCCAGACATGGATGGTAAAATGTCTCCAGCATGGGTGGGTGTTTCTTGAACATCAACAAGTCTATACATTACACTCCGACTCACAAACATGGAAGTGGAAAACCCCCCCTTCCGAAAGGAAAGTAGTCTTCCAAGGGGCCATTTTCCACCTCCATGTTAGTGAGTCGGAGTGTAGCCATCTTAGCCCTGTGTGAAATGGCTCTGAAGACGCCCACACCACGCCTTGGCTTGACAATGAAGAGCATCTGCAATAGCCTGGGCGGACGAAACGAGAAAACGAGATTTGCTCGTTGAACGAAACGGCTTTTGAAGCAGATTCGCTTCTAAAGGACTGACTCTTAGCGGCAAAAAGTGCACTCCCCCCCCCCGCTCCACCCCCCCTTCCCCGAAAAATGCACCCCCCTTCCCAACTCCTCATCCATCCCAATCCCCAGTCATCCCCCCGAAAAGTGACTTCACTTGACTTTAGACGAAAACGAAGACGCCTTTTTGTCCTCCTCCTCCGGCAGAATGTCGTTCCCCCGGAAGAGCCACAGCACGTCCTTCGCCGCAAAGAGGGCATCCACCGCATCGGCCTCATGGAGCCTCGCGCCCGCCCGAAGGGGCCCGTTCCGACGGCGGCGTGGGCGTTCGGGGCGTTCGGCCCGGTCTGCCGCATCCCAGCAACAAATCATCTACTTCACCTGAGAGGTTCTTCGACTACGCCCTGATAACATAGGTCTAGGTCTTTTGGTCCTAAGAGGGAACCCCAACAGTAAACGGTTTAGAGGGACCATTAAAGGAAACAGACACCTCCGGACCGGGATGGAAAGGGGCGTGGACTCAGGATTGAAGGAGGTCGAAACAATCCTCGGGGGATCTTCATCAACCTTCGACTTTCGAATCGTGGATCTTACAGTCAAGCGCAGGATCCCGCCGGCATACCTTCCTTCCTTCAATTGCATTGCCGGCCTAGTCCGCGCTGCGACAAATGTTTAAAATGTATTTTAAACCCCTCCCAGGCCTGAAGGTCTTACAATATGATCAATATGGTGATATATCGGGGGTTATTAATTAAGTTATATTACGTTTATAGGTTAGTCAAGATTGGAAAGGGTGGAAAATTGAACTGGAACTGATGGACCAATTACATCACTACGCTCACAAGCCTTGTGAACACACACACACACACTCACTGGCTTTTCCCGCTGAGAGATCGAATCAAGCGGATGGCATCCACAGTATATAGAGAAAGAAAGACACAAGAAGCAAGCAATCTTGCTTCTTTCTTGATAGGTTCGTGATAAGGCCTTGCGGTACTCTTCTTAATAGCTTCGTGAGAGAATCGCCGAATAGCCCCCTCCAAGAGCGGGGCTACTTGCGGCGTCGCGATGGCGTGTCGCGGCGTGTCGCGGTTCTCGTGTCGCGGGCGCCAAGTCGCATGTTGGCGCTCAAAATCAAGTTGAGTGCCCGAGCCTTCCGAGAGGTGAGTGAGTGCGCGTGTCCGAAGGACCATCTTTCCGGAGGGACAAGGGGAAAAGAAGGGTGCTTCCCTACACCCGGGAAGAGACCCGCATGGAACCAGAAAATGGACCTTCGGAAGACGTTTTTCCTCTATTACAACCGAGTGGTTTTCAGGTTTTCAGCCGCTTGGCCAGAACCAAGAGTTCATAACTAGAACCCAGTGGTTTTCAGCTTCCATGTCAATCCTCCAGAGGGTATCACAATTGAGAAAGGGGCAAATTAGTTGTCAGGAATGAATTTTCTTTGATGTCTAAACTTGAAGATGCTTGTCGGTCGAATTCATTGCTCGGGAACGTCTGATATAGTCATATGGCCGTGGGTCGGGGCACCATGCTGCAGGAGACCTTGGTTGACCTACCAGCCAATCCTCAACCTACCAGAGTTGAATAGCTCCAGCCTTTGGCCTTTGACCTGTCCACATGGCTGATCAACTGGAGCCCCGGTCACCATCGACTTGGTGGTCTATTCTGCTCGTTTGACCGGTGGGTTTCCCACAGTCGGGTGTCCCGGTGCCACGGCCCACGGCCATATTGATGTGATACTCTCCCTGGAACTCACATGGTTACGTGGCAAACCACCTGCTTGTAGTGGATTTCATGGTCGTCCGAACTCGGGGCCAGGCAATCCACTTCCATGTGAGTTCCAGGGAGTGTATCTTGGAGCTCGGGACCGCTGCGTGAAGCAGCCTCGTCCTCCCTTTGGAGCGGTGGACCCATCGGGCCTCGCCGTAGGGATCTTCCAGATCCTGGAAGTCGGAGCAAAGCGGTCCCAACTGGACCGAGGACGATCGCAGAACGCGAGGGACATCAGAACAGCCGCAAATGGGTTTAGAACAGCTCAAATTGAAGTTTAGTAAGGGGGGGTCTGACTTTGAAAGGCGACCAGTCTTTCAGACTGCTCCCGGAAATGAGAGCGAACTGCCGCTCAGTCCCCTGCAGAACCTAGCGCCACACAGCATTATACAATACACAAAGCGATCTTAAGAAAAAAGAAAGCGAAGAAATGAACCGCCAGAAGAAGCTCCAGAAGTTCGAGTTTCACTGTTGGACTCTATTAGATGCTCTTTCATCTCCTTTCTCTCTACATCCGCATCCATCCGCCACGAGCTCTTCAGCCGTCCCCGGCCGACTCGGCGCCTGGAAGATGTCGCGCGCTTCCCGCGCCGCAGTCTTGGCCTCACCGCGTGTCGAAGCAAAGCTTCCAAGTGTAATCCAAAGGCCTGGAAGCGTGATACCTACCCTACAAGTCAAAGACCTCATTTTACTGGAGATGGTCATACAAAACCAATACTTACTGAGGTAAAAGACCAGGCTTTACTGGGTCTTTGGACTTGTAGAGCTCAATTCGTAAGTAACCACTCAAGTCCGGCTGTGGGAATGTTCGTCCGGTGTGAGGCCAAGATTGATCACACGGAAAAGGGTTGAAAACGAAGAATGAAGTCGTCCTTCACTACTCCCTGGGTGGGATGATGAGCAAGTACTTGAGCAAGTCAAGCAAGTGAATCATGTACAAGCCCACTGCAGGCTGCCTACTGCAACTTCCCAGGAAGGAATTCGTTGGTGTATTTGACTAGTGACTAGGTGAAGCACTGATATCAGTCACAAGAATGAAATACAGTTCTTTTCTACCTCTCCGTTCCTGCTGCACTGGTCAGACCTCTCCGTTCCTGCTCGGGGGGTCTGCTCCAACTTGGCCACCTGCCTCATCCACATCATCTTTGGCCAGCATGAGCTCTCCGACCTACGTCCACGGCGGGGTCGAAGAACCGTGGAGCATGATGGATCCTTCGTGCACCGCATTTTTTCACACCAAGTCGTCCCCATCGGCTTTGGAGAAATTTGTGGAGGTGGGTCAAAATGTGGACCCTAAAACAGACAACCATGTCCTGGTAGTCTGTTCTGTGCACTGCGCATGTTCTGGCGGATCAACCTGTTGACGTGGTGTTTCTTTCTTTGACCCGCCATGTTCACGATCTCCACAGGTGCAAGCTGGGTCCCTTGAGGACCCCTGCAAGAGTTAGGCAGCTCGCCTCGGACCTCAGTTGTGCCGGTCCGGGTGCTTCGCCTACGTCCCCCGAGCACCGAGAGGTCTCATGGATCGGTTCGAAAAATGGAAAATCGACCGGAAACCATGAGTGTTGACCCATTTTTTGACACTCCATGGGACTGGCATATTCACCGATCAATTGGGGTGGTGTGAGGGGTCAATGGGGCGGCATATGTGACAGACATGGAGTGTTGACCCATTTTTATGACTCCCCAGACACCACGAGCTTTCCTGACAATTTCCCCGTCCAAGTGCTGGGGAACATCCTCCCATGCCGCGACGAAGGAAGATCGTCTTCAGACCGGTCCAGGCCACATGCGATCATCAATGTCGCTGTAGATACTGCCTCGGGTGGAAGCACTGAGGAAAACACCAAGCTGGAGGCCCCTCGGGTGGAACTGCCGCTTGGAAGGTCCGAGCTGGGCGCACCCAGCTTGGGAGGTCCAAGCAGCTGGGGGGGGGTGGGGCGTGCCGGGTACCATATGACCAGTACCAATTTGGTTATACTTGGGGTATCTCCTCTATTCAATTCACCAACCATCCAACCAATAGCAAAAGGTCATCTCAGGATCGTCTGATTTGTTTCACTCCAGACCCTTCAGCAGAGGCCAACCAACTGCCCATTCATCATGCAAGGCATGGCAGTAGCTTAGCAGCTTAGCCAGCTGCATCTTGAAGTTGGGAAGTGGTACGTGCCCAAACGACTTTGAGCACTAACCAAAACCAACCAAAATTCTGAAGATTGAAGCCCCGCTGCCATCAATACCCTCTCATCCATCCGAGCAATCCCTCACCAAATGTGTCTCCATTCCCTGACAGGTTGCAGGCCGCACGTGCTGAGGAGACGCCAGCCTTGGAAAAACCAAGAAATGCATGAAACAAACACGGTGGGAGAATTTGCATGAATTTGCATGATGTTCTTCAGAACTGAACTGGCTAACACTCATCCTACCCATGGCCACAGAGCCCTTCAAAAAGCCATCTGATCTGGGACCAAAAAAGGATAAAAAAAGGTCAGCGGTGCCATCGAATTCCGCTCGATGTTTCCGCTCGACTTCCATCCCTGTTCTTCGCTTCGTGCCGGGTCGCCTTCGCTTCGATCTCGTGCCGTTTCTTGAGCTCTTTCAGCTTTTCGTCCTTTTCCTGCGAGGCTCGAGCTGTGGCACGAGCTGTGTGGCAGAAGCGGCGACCCAATTCTGGCAGTCGAATACACCGTGGACATTGGTAAACAATGAGACAGCTACTGCATTCATTATTCTAAGTCCATATGTGTACCTTGGGCAAGCGCACTTCTGCACGCCGTGCCTAAACTGTTAAATCTCCACCATCCCACCAATATTGCACAGTTCCAGCCACTAGAAACCACCATCAGAAACCACCACCCGCACGCTCCTCGACCAGAGTCAACCTGAGGGCGAAGAGGGGAAACAAAAACATCGGATACTGTTCAGGCGGGATGAGGGGATGGGATGAGCCCATGGCCTCGGGTGGAAGTGAGGACCACTCCAGTGAATGGCACGGCCCCCCTAAGACTCGGATAACGAGATCCGAGTTGACCAGCCACAGCTGGTGCTGTTGGAAGTGAGTAGAAACCCACCAGTCCGTGGGTCCGGAGAGTCCGCATCCTCCACAGGTCCAAGAATGGGCGTGCCCCTGCGCCAGGTGTTGATCTCTTCTCGCCCCCCGGCCCATGGAATTGTCAAACCTCAGACGAGGCCTGGGGAAGAGGAAGGACATATCATCCTAAGAGTCCCAAATGACCGGTTCAATGCACTGCCTCCCCGGTCACTGGACCTTCGCCGGGCGACTGGGGTGAAGTTCCAGCCATGACCCTTAACAGCCGGACGCAGCTTTGACAGCACAAGGCCGCAGCCTCTCCGGGCCTCGGGTCGAATTGGATCGAAGGACACCAGCCAGGCCAGAACCACCTGGCCCTGCCACACCATGTGACACCAGGCATGAGATGTCAGGCAATCCCCCTTGATGAAGTTCCGTTCCTCGCCCTAAGGCCTAAGCCGAGCCAGGTGAAATCCGGAGCTCTATTGAGGCTCCTGTTTATCCTGGTTTCATTGGATCTTGCAGACAATACCTCAGCCCTTTTCCTTTCTTGTCCTTTCTTACTGTCTTGCTGTCTGCCTCATCTGCCTCTCTCTCTCTCTCCCGTTTTTTCAGTGTCTCTCACTCTACCCTGGTCTCTCTCTATCTTTCTTTATCTCTCTGAAATCATCGGTTCTAGTCGATGGAAGGGGTGCCCTATGTTCATACGCACCGTCCCCAGAGTCAAGCAATCAGAAAAACGGGCACCTGCCTTTCTTGGACAAGTACGACGGCCCACGCGCGTGTGCAGTACAATTCCTGAATTCCACTGCCCCTCAAATCTTGGATTGAGGTAGAGCTTGCCAGAATCCATAGACGGCAAGGGCTCTGCCTTTCAGAAAGGCCGACTGCCATGGATGTGTCGAGCGTGGGAGGTCGTCAGACGCCCACTGCCCTGTTAGTAGGTCGTCTGCCTGGGGGTTCTGTGCCTGGGTTTATACGCCGGGAGGCTTGTTCTTCTGCGCCTTGAAGATCTCTTCACTCGCCGTGGCCGCTTTCAAGGCCTTCCCACTGTCCTGGAGGAAAAAGCGAGGATGGGAACATGTTCAAAATGACGGCACGGTCCATGTGCGGAAAGCGGAAGGGAGGACGATGTGGAAATGCCAAACCCTATGGCTCCAAGTACCTTCTGAGAAAGTGTTTGGTGTTGGTTTCGAGGGTCCAAATACCTCCTCGGGGTATACTTGGAGCCCTAGGAAAAGGATTTCTTCAACAACTGTGGAACAAACATCCGCTACATCCATTGGTGTGCCTGCCTTGCTGGAGAGAGGAGTGCGTGAGTCGCTTTCCTTGTGGCGACATTTCACAAAATATTCAGACACACGTAAAACAACTATTTAAGGGGTGCAGGGATTCCAGAAAGACCAGCAACCCGCCATCAAACACAAGCGCAACCACACTGGTTCTTGTCCCAATAACCAAGCGTCCTAAGATGCTCTGCTGGGAACCCTCGAGGACTTCAGTTTCTTCTGCCCGCCCCTGTTGGGTGTGGTTCCACCGTGCCGTCAACTGGCGCCCTGCGGAAAAAGCTGAAACGGTGATAAAGCATTGCCAAAACTCATTGATAAAACATGATAAAACACCATCCACATGTTGTCACATGTCCAAAAGGCCATCCACCTCCTCAATTGGGTCCACATCTGTTCCACCTCTCCCAGGCCCATCACAAGCCATGGCTTACCCGTCCCCCCCAAGCTATCCCAAGCTCAGCTCCGTGAGTTCGATGTAGGCGTAGCCGGCCAAAAGTTGCGCATAGGCCTGCAGCACGTGGCAGGCCACCCGGTCGACCGGCCCGGCACGACCCCCCCAAACGCCCAGTTGCCTTCCTAAAAGTCTGAGCTCTTTCATCTCTTTCAGCGGGCGACTAGCTCATTCGGTTTGCGGGGGCAGCCTTTGTGGAGCAGCTTCGGTGGTTCTGTGCGCACCAAACCTTCAAGATTCCATGGTGAAGGAGCACGAGCACGAAGAAACATGCTGTTCCAGGAAAAGGCCGTTTTCCAGGATGTTGGGAACCCTTTCGGAATTATATATACAGTAGATGTTATAAACTCCCCTCAAGCGGTGGCCTGGCCAATGGCGTTGCCATCTCGAAGGCACTGCTGAAGCCTTGCATTGGAAAACCACGGCTGAACCAACAGGGCTTTGTCATGGGTGAGCGCCATAAGCGCAGGCACCAACAGCACTCTCTGCCACACTCCCAACCCAAAGCCCTGAGGCAAGTGGTAAAACCCAAAGGAGTGCAGATTTAGGAGATGTTGGGGAGCCACCCTTTGTGGCCTTCTGGGGTGGACGCCTCCCGGATCTTCAAGGAATCAAGACGGAAGTCTAATTATACATCCATCCGATGATTCTTCCTGCGAACTTCCCCCTCGCCGGCCGTTCACGGTTTCCGGCCATCCGCATGGCCCATGCGATGGTGGCTCATCCTATCTCATCCAGGTGACGACTCCCGAGCAATCCACGCGCAGCGCCCGGCGGCATCTTTGCCGATGCAGGCCGCCGTCAGGGGGATGACTGGGTGGAAGCGAAGCCTGGGCTTCGGCCGGGGATGGGGCGGGTGGGAATGGGTGGGTGGGATGAAAAGCTACCGTTTTGGGGGGTCACCAATCATAATCAACCACCCTACACTACGTTTTGGTCTCAGTCATTGGGCCTCCACTGGACGCCCAGAAGCGCAAGGTGGAGTCGCTCAAATTGGAAGGAAGGAATGGAATGCAAGACGGTAAGCCCCGAATGATGCTGGGAGCATCTTGAGGTGAGGTTAAAGCATGACTTTTACCGCCCGGCTCTTGGCTCAATTCTCAAATGACCTGAATCCAAATCATTTATGATTTAGATGTGGCTTTGCCCAAAGTGGTCTTTGGCATTGGTTCGCCAGGAGTTCTGTGGGGCTGTGCAGCATTCAGAGAAACTCCAGTCTCAGGACAAGAGCCTGGAGAGAACACCTCCTTCCCAACACCTACCTCCTAGCGATCCTAGCGCCCTTGCCACATCTCCATCTGCCAGCGGAAAATCAGGGCCGGCCCAATTCCCAACCTTACTTGGAGGGTTGAAATCCGGGAAGCCCCGAAGCCCTGGGTAGACTTCCAGGGGGTCTACACGACATCGACCTCCCCACAACCCACGCGTCGACCGACTCCGGGCCCCCCTGCGTGGCTTCCACCCGCCGCTTGGCCACCACCGAGAGCGTCTGCACCGCGAGCGGCATGGCCTCGGCACCTGGCGGGGAAGCGGCATGGGCACCCGGCCCCAAACCGTTCTTCAGCCCAAAGTCTGCCCCCCCCGCAACACAGGGGCCTAAACATTGCCCTGGATGAAACAAGTCCACTCAGCCATTGCTAGGTTAATGTTTGAGAACAAATGGTTCCCTCCAAACTTAGTGAAAAATGATGCAAAATGTGTAGAGTAGCTACTGAAGTGGGTTGCATGGCAAAAAGGAAAAAAGGTCCTTGTGTGTTGCTGAGAAACACTGACAAGCACCTGGCATATGGATTTCCCATAATAGCACAAAAAACGGAAGATCCATCCCCTGCATGGACGGTCACCGCCGCCAGGCCTACCCTCAGGACAAGGCAATCTTGCATTTTAGGGGGGTTGGAGGGAAGAACAACGTGAAAGCTGGCAACCCGCATGTGATTTCCGCTGTCCATTACCCAAGTTGCAAAAGCTTCATCCATCCCACACCCATGATATGGTTGACGGACAATGTAAAACATACTTGTCACTGTATAAATCCTACCACCTGGAGAGCATGGACCCCTCTTCGCAATGCTCCATAAGACCTTTAAGACTCTCAACTTTCAATGTGTCAATGCCAAATGGGCATTGCTCTTGGTGGTGTCACCTGCATCTCCAACACCATCCAACACCCATGAACAAAAATTGTTTTCTTGATCTAACTAACGCTAGTTAGCAACCCAAACAGAAAAAGTTCACATGACCCCACAACCCCACCCTCAGCTCCCCAATCCTCCAAAAAAGGACCGACCTCCTCCACCTCCGCCCGTACCGCGTCCCCCGCGCGTCCCGCACCGCGCGTCCCCCGCACTTCCTCCACGCCGTCGTCTGGCGACGCTTCCTCCGCGCGCGACGACGGCCTTTCCCATCGGCCACCAAGCCCTGGATCGGCTTCAGTGCCTGCTGCACGTCCTGAAACGGCTCGGCAGGACCCGAGCGTCAGGTGTGGCCAGCAGCTCGGCTCGGAGGCGGGGGGTCAACGAAGCCTGAAGCTGGCTGGCTGGGGGAGACTTGGTTGGCCTGGCAGCGGAAGCCAAGTTGGTTCGGCATTGGACGTCCATCTTTCCGCTCCAAATCTTTTGGAAGTTCGTTGTTTTCATCACCAGGGTCACACAATCGAGACCGTCACATAGATCAAGCTGCGCCTCTTCACAGTCGTCACTTGGCAGCAAAAAGTCTCCCACGTTGATGTCCCAAGTGTCGCGAGGTGCGCGGACGACCACTCAATCCCCTCTCAACCTCACCACTACCGTGACTACCGGATCCCAACAGGGAAGCACCAGCTCAAACACCGACCTCTCCGCCGCAAACGGGCTGATCCGTTTCGTCCTCCATGCGTTGCGCGAGGTCGCTGCTCAGATGCACGGCCAAGCGCGCCACATGGAGCTGAGGATCGCTGGAGGCCTCGCCGGTCGTAGTGGTGCCGGGTGTGTTCAGCCCTTTGAGATTAGTCAGGAGTTCCAATAGATTTGAGACGATATACACATATGCACACACATGTATATATGTATACAGAGTTAATAAATGAAACAGTATATAAAAGAGTGTGTGTGTGCATATAGGACGCAAGTAAACAAGTCTTTTGAATTGTGAGGCTTCAATCAGTTGGGGGACCTCCGGTCATGGTGTGAAAGGGGCACCTCTGGCTGCATGTGGTCGCACATTTTGAAGATTGATGGATTGTACACTGTTTCATTGAAAAGTGGTACCAAACAAATGTAATCCAGAAGATGCATATGGAGGCTGCAAAGCATGTCCTTGAAAAGCAGCATTGATGTTTGTTGCTTCGTGTCTTTGCCTTGCATGCAGTACCTGGTGAATAGGATCATTGGACCAATCCTATCACACCTCAGACATGCAATGGATCTTGGCGGAGATGGAGTCAGAATGCCAAAGTTAGGCTCCCTCGTAGTAACTCATCAGGACAGTTGCAAGGATTTTTGGTGTAGTGCCAGTTGGCAGCTGGAGTCACCAGTAACTCAGAAGTGTCTTGCATCTGTGCCGCCAGAACAGAACACAAACACCCCTCGCACATGAGTTAAGACACAAGACGTGCAACCAAAAGCCCAAGCTCTGGTACAACACCTCTTCTTTTTCGGGTGCACGCACAACAGCTGGCCCCCATTGGGCCAAGGCTGATATAAAGGCTTGCAAACATTTCTCATGCAGGGCACATCAGGGCACTAGAGTCACTAGACACGCATTTGGCTCATGTGCACTTCTATTCTGTAAACACTCAGGCCCTATAAACAGCTACGCACGGTCACGTAGCACCAAACAAAATCGCTGGGTCACACGCTTCGCCCAGGCCAGCTGGCTCACAGCACGTTGGTCAATGGTTTGGTCCGCAGGGTACTGAAGCGGTCCTCGAGGAAGGGAACAGGATGGGAGAGCAACTCATCAGCAACTTTGACATATCCTAGCTTGGAATACCAATGCTGCAAGTGTTTCTTCTCACTGTAAGCAAACAAATAGAGGGAGGTGAAGCCTCGACAGGCGGCCCATTCTTCACAGCAGCGCACAAGCTCGGAGGCGATGCCGCAACCACGCCAAGATGGTTCCACCATCAAATAGGCAATTCGAGCCACCTCTTCATTCGAGACATCCCGAAAGGGACCTGAAAGCTTGTCCACGAGCACGGCGACGAGGGCCACCATTTCACCAGCTTCGTTCTTCACCACCAATAGTCCGTTCTTCCTCCCATTCTCCTGAAATTGCTGGGAAAGGAGTGGAAAGATGTGTTGCTGTCTCAGGGCAATCTCCGTCCCGGGAGAAACAAACACCTCTCGTGCGACAAGGGAAGTCACGTCCATGAGAAGCCCCTCCGTCACCGACTCCTTCTCAACCCAAACAGGCGTCAACTTCATCTGGCTGAGCACCATGAGGCGTTGTTGCTTTGAACTGTGAGGCTAGCTAGGCCGCTAGGCTGGCTTCGTCCCTGAGTACTTACAACGTGAGTCGCTGCTTGAGGCTTTTTTGGCAGGTTTTCAGAATGACTCCCTGCAACTACCGCTGTGCACTTCGCTTTCGGCCTCCCCCATCACCTCAAGATGCACCGATGGCAGCCTGCACAACGGCTGGAATCGCATGCGGCTGGAGGTCTATGACACGCATGCACTAGACCTGGTGAAGAGGATCCGCATAGAACCGGGAAATCCTATCCCAAACACGACTAACGGGACTGCCAGTCCGGACTGCCGCCCCAGAGGTCGACCCCCCAGGAAGACCACCCCTGACTGATCGGGCGTGTTTCGGTGCCCCTGCGTCAGCCCGCCGGTGACCGAACCTGCATGAACCAGCCCGGAACCGGACATCGGATCGAATCCACGAAGAAGAATCAGCCAAACAAGAAACAATTATGGTCCAAAATCTAAGTCTATGATAGTCTATGTATGTTGAGCTTATGGTGCGTTATTTCCTCCGTTATAATGCCCCAAATGCCTGGGGTTCCAACGGGGATTGTGGATTCTTGAAAATTCTTGGAGGACGCTCTGTTTGGAGCGGTTCCAAACAGCAAAACATTGCGACCCGAGACCCGACATGCACCCATCTTCCTTTGAAAGGCTGGAGTGGATTGCATCTCTTGGTGCAAGCGCCTCCATGAAAGGCTGCTCCACTTCAACTTGAGCCAAAGAAACGTCCGTTCGACCACGAGACGCGAGTCGTATCAGCTGGAGTGCTACGTACCTGAAACTCCGTTCCTCCAAGGTGTGAAACTCCGTCCTGGCGCCGGTGTCTTGAACCTGTGAACTACGACATACTATGACTAGCTGACTAGCACACCCACCCCACAGTTCCATTCATGGATCCCAACTGCTCAACTGCCACTTCACCCAAGAAGCCGCTCGCACAACCCCAAGACCCCAAGAAGAGCGAAGAATCGGAAAGCCCACCCCCCCCCGTCCGAAGCTTCGTCGCCGCACCCGAAGCCCCTTTTTCTCACGGCGCCCCTGGCACCGCCCAGATCTTCGCTTGGCCATCCTCCGAGGCGGACGCCAAGCCGCCTCGGCGCTTCGACGGCGGTTCGTGGGAAGCCGCCGGCAAGCGGCTAGGGGTGGCCCAAAAATGAGCGACGGGAACACCCAAAACAGATGAAAAAAGACTCCTGGGAAGGGCGAAATATGAAAAAAAACACTGAACAGGTTGAAGCATACCCAACTTTGGTTTCATGGGGAGCGGACGCCAGAGCCCTGGAAGGTGGTACGACTGGTACGACCTGGCCTGCCTGGTAAACGCGTTGAATTCACCAGATACGAATAGATACGAAGCATCTTCGAAACAGAACAACAAACCATCACTCACTTCCCGGAGCTGTCCGTCTTTGCGTTCCTTCCTTCTCCAGTTCCTTCCTACTCCCAGACTGGTCTCCAGAAGCCAGACACACAAGCCTGGACCGTTGGGTGCCGTGCCTGAACCGTTGGGTGCCCAGCGCACCGAGAGCACGGCACCCTGATGCCCCACATGCACCGCCACCAGCTGGGCGGCGCGCGCCTCGTGAAGGCGGTCTGCTGGGGTTGGAGGAGCCAAGAGAGGTAGCCAGTGACCTCATAGGGACCCCACTGGGGTACCTACTGTATGGGATAGTCTATAGGTCTATAGGGTCCTTCAACCTCTGTTGGAAGGTTTTGGAGCTACGGTGATGTAGTCACTCTCGCCCATTCACACGGAAGTGGATGGCATAGGCCCGGGGAAGATCATCTTGCGAATACAAACAGGGGGGGTTCCACGTCTGGGAGTGCATTCGTTGTATAAGGAGGAATGACCCCCCCCATTTCATAGAGGAAATCGTCACCTGTCTGGTTTTAGGTTTTAGGGGATGTTCATTCTATCCAGTTCTTTTCGGGAGGTTGGGGGGGTTGGATTCGGGTTGGGGTGCAGAAGTGTTGGGCGAAAAATTGGCAAGACCATCTTCCGACACGACATGTGGATGATGTCAACTCGTGTTTTCCGCTGTTGGAGAGCAAGGCTTCTATGGCGGGCAACATTTTTTTTCAACCCTAAAACATGTTTTTTCAACCCTAACCTTTTTTTTCAACCCTGCAACATTTCTTTTTGACCCTCGAACATTGTTTTTTGACCCTGTCACATTCTTTTTTAACCCTTGTATATGCTTTTTCGACCCTGGACCCTTCTTTTTCAACCCCGTCCATTTGGGCCCACCAGACTTTCCCGCAGCTCGAAGCGCCTCTTTCACTCTTGACGGGTCGTCGTCGAGCAGACTGCCCGCTTACAAGCTCTGGGCCGTTGGGGGCCCAATCTGGGGCCTGCAATGGTCCGGTTGGGTGTTGGAAGCTACATAGGGACCCTTCGAGTTCCTCCATTCCATGTCAGATTGCTCATTGGCGCGCCCAACCAACTGGAGGAAACTATGGAGGATGAAACTGATTGGAAAAACAGATTCTCCAAGAAACGTCAATCATGCCCTCTTAGACATGAAACAAGAAGTCAATGTTAATGTCTTCAAACCAACGTCAACCGCGGCGTGTGGAGATCTGCGGGTCGGACTTGAAGGGAATCACCAACCCAAAGCTGAGAACTCATTGGATGAGGTCCCTGAATCGACAGCTATGTATCCATGTTAATGCAGTAAATGTATGTTGTGGAGAAAAGGGTCGTCACTCCTTCCACAGATGCAATGGGGAATAGTTCTTTTCTTTATGCTAACGGTTCCTTTTTTTATGCTGGATTTGGGTGGGTTCTTTTTTTTTTATGCTAACGGTCTCTATCACCCCAATCTCCTCAGGCTCCACGAGGTAGCGAGAAAGTTTGCTGAAAACCCCACTCGCATCGTTCCCGAAGCGCCCCTTGATGGTGGTCATGGATAGCTTATATCGTCTTGCCAAGTCGCCAGTTTTCTCTTTCTTCTCTTCCTCGTTCATGTAGCCCACTAGCTTCTTCAGTGAAGCGGTCAAGAATTTGGCGTCATCGGATTTTGTCCTGGACATTGCATAGTTGATGGATAACGGGACGAGCGGAGGAATGCCGACGGCAATCCATGCTTCAACCACGAGGAATGCCGACGGCAATCCATGCTTCAACCACATCCAACCCATGCGTACTCCTTGACATCCTTGGAGGTAGGGTGATCTGCCCATTCTCCTTCATCTCAACCAGGCCATCGAGGATCTTGATGATGAAAGTCGGGTAGCCGCTCGTGTTGCCGCTATAGTTCATGACACCACCAACAGAAGCCATAGCCACGTCGCTGAAGCGTACGGGTGAAGCAATGCTGTGGTCACACGAACAAACGCAACATGCCTGATAATCATGACTGCCATGTGGTTCGATCCGTCGTGCGTGTGATGTTTGTGTCTCATGTTCATCACGTGTGTATACAGTCTCGTTTGATGTTGCATCACACACTGATCGTTCATTGAGGGAACTACCCAAGGCTCGAATCACAAGGCACGGAACGGCATGCATCATCTTCCCAGACTTCTGGAATGCAGCGATTCTCTTGGTCACGGTCTTCAGGATGATGCCGACTATCTTCTTATTATATAATTGAGTGGTCTTAGTGTATTTACCTGCACAATCTCTATGACTATGGCTCTTGTCACATGTCCTACTGAGCTGGTTGCCAAACTCGAGATTCCATGATACAATCTTCCAAGGCTTCTTGATGAGTTTCTTGTCGGAATGCGAATCGTTGAACTCAGCGCCCAACCCGTACATACATCCATCAAACACATGACAGTCGCAATCAGTGCCACTCAACAAATGTTGAGCCCTTTGATCTTTCCAGTAGGCACAGTATCTTGGTAGTTCAAACAGTGCGGCGGCTCCGATTCTCAAAACACGAACCATAACAGCTTCAAAACGCTCCCAAAGGTCCCAGTATAGTGCTCGCTTAAGCTCTATAGATTTAGCTATCGCGTCGTTGACTTTAGCGTTGTATCTCGACCATGCTGATCCGCCTGTGCAGGGTCCTGCAAACATTACTGCATCCTTCTCCGAACGTACTGCCGCAAGCGCGCGTGCAATTCCGTATGGTGAAGTGAGGTCATCGCTTTGAGATACAGTGACGATGGTGCAGTCGTGCTTCGCCGCTAAGTGGGTGAAGTGATTGCATTCCTCTGAACACAGTAGGATGAATGCGGGTTCTTTACCTATATCGTACAGGTCGATTACCATCTGCTCGTCGCGGGCGGCTAGGTTGTGATCTTCTTCGCACAGCACGAACTGGTACCGATATGCTATCTTCCCATCATGTCGTCTCAAGTTGACATCAACTACTCTGTGCTCTTTACTCTCCTCGCTCTTGGCTTTGCTAACGGAGACGAACGTTGGGATAATGATATCCTTCAATGGGATCGTTTTCATACGCTTTGGAGTGCTGCATAACGCTATCGCAGCCGGTTTAGCTTCCTCGTTTTCCGATTCAGCGTTGTTTCCCCTAAGGGTGATTTTTTTTATGCTGAGGGTTCTTACTTTTATGCTGAGGGTTTTTATTTTTATGCTAACGAATGTAATTGTCGCGGGGCTTTGTTGGAAAATGTAATTGTCGCGGGGCCTTAGTGGAGAATGTAATTGTCGCGGGGCTTAGTGAAGAATGTTATTGTCGCGGGGCTTTATTGGAGGGGCGGCGGCTCATCTGCGCACACAGATTTGACGCATCTGCGCACACACATTTTGTTAGCACTTGCGCCTCATCTGCGCACACAGATTTGACTCATGCGCGCACACAGTCCATCGGGGAGACTCAAGTGCGCACACACGCCCTTTCCCGCATGTTTGCTCACTTAAAAGGGTCGTCAAGATGGAATGGCCACTTCCTCCTCTACATTTTACCCTCCAGTGGCTCACCAAAGGGTGAGTCAACTTGGAATGACCACTTCCTTCTC